CTGGAGTGAAGTCGTCATGGCTTGATGTGTAAGTTTGGTCTGTACTACCTAGCTAGCAAGGGTTCCTGATGCTGTGGATTCGGTGCCGTAGATCGAGTACGATCACACAGTCTAATGTGTATTCTCCATGTTAAAAGAAAAGAGAGGATAGATAGCAGCTATTAACGTGTGGAGGCACTATTTTCTTGGATCCTCTAGTCGAGAGTAAGATTTTCTGTCAGGCCCCAAGTCGATCTGACGCATGAAACGGACCTGAAGCTACAGGGAAATATTCAGAGTTGAGAAAACAGAGCAAAAGCAGAGGAAGCACAATTGCAGTCTGTTTCTATGTGCATCAGTTGTGAGTGTCCATCTTTGTCCACTGCCTTCTGCAGTCCAAGATTAGTTGATCATCATCAGTGGATCTCCGGCAGGTAAGCTTCACATCTCAGCTACCATCAGAAGAAACATGATAACACACGATCCGTTCAACCCCCGCGTTGCTTAATCAAAAGAATAGAAACAGGAGCAACCACAGAGAGTATCCAGAGTGCACACTTATCCACAGAGGACAAATATTCAGAAACAGCGAGCACATAAATCACAAGTGATCCTCGGTTTCTGCCGTGCTGCACAACATACACTCTGCTCTACCTTTCCAACTCCTTGTAACACAAACCTCAAGTTCGAAGGAAGTGTAGAAACGAACAATCTTCTGCCACTAGCATCAAGACCAAACAATTTTTTGAGCAAGGCGCAGAAGCCAAATACAGAACACCTTTTTGAAAACTGACAGACATACAGCCTGCCAAAAACAAAGGTGCTGAAGCAAATCTGACAATCTTCCACTGAATGAATCTTCCTTTTTTTGCAGAAAATTCAGACTAAAAGAGGAGGCTAGCTACAGGCAAGCACAATTATAGTATGTATTAAAAGACAGACAGGATGAATTAAAAGCAGCAGCAGCTCAACTACATATATACAGGCCATCGGTGTGCAGCACTTGTTTTAACCGAGCTTTAAGAAACAGAGCACATGAAGCACGACTGAACCTCAGCTTCAGCAGCACTGCACAGCATATACACTTCTGAAATACTTCTTTCCCAACCACTTTGTGAAGTACTGATACCGTAGTCCGCAGGCAAGGCGCATAGTAGAATTGATCATGCATACTTGTTTTTTTTTGGCCTTTGAAGAAAAATGTATACTAAGTTAAAAATAGTTGCCATGAGGGATCAATCTCCGCTTCTCGCGCATGCCCTGGCCGCAACCCTGCCTTATTGGCGGCGAGCTGCCTCGACCTCGACTGCCTGCGCACCTGGGGTGCGTGTCCTTTTGTTAACAACTGGTGCAGTCGGAGTGTGTTGTGCCAGACCTCGCTGGCTGGGATGGCGTGGGTTTTGTACTGCAACCGGCATGGGGAGCGGTGCTGCGGACAGGCGACGGTGGTACATGGGGAGCGCGTGTTGTGTGCTGGGACCGTCCGGGTGGGGAGCGGTGCTACGCGCAAGGTGGCATACTGGCATATGATTCACTTTTTATCTAGAATTTGTTTAAAGCTGTTTACACTTTTTAAGAGAAATTTCTGAAACTCACATAATACATTTCTTAAAGCAAGAAACATGAAAAGGGGTAAAGTGTATGTTTACGAGGCCCAGCTAGGGTTTCTTTCTGATGCTGTCTGAATCGGACCGGCGAGGATAGTCACGTGTATTATAGGGTAGCAGCCGCCATTAACACGGCTTGACGGGCGGCACCTCCCTCGGTCGTCCCGTTGCTCATGATTCCTGAGCAGCAAATCAAATTCATGGGAGGAGATTGGGGGATAACCACCGCTTTCTACTACTGAACATCTTGTAGCTCTATATTTTCACCTCTAAACCAGTTCTTCACCACCATGAGTTTGCTAAACAGAGGAGGAAGCCCACATCCCAAATTCAACATTCTATCTGAAGTATACCAAACGTGCAATCCCCATTTTTATACCAAACGAAGTATTAGGAGTAAAATGCAACATTCAATTCTTATTATTATTTTCTTGCTAAGACTAGCACACATAAATTGAACACAAACATCATCAAGTTGTTTTCTTTTGTGAAGAAAAGGGTACTTTCCTGATTACATTCATGAAACCAATGGTTCAATGCAGAACCACCAGATACATCTTATACTGACATGTGAAATAAATTGTAAAAAAGGAAGCTGATCTTGTCACGGTGTGAAGGACGATGATTAAGTTTTGTGAAATAGACGCCAAACTCGAACGGGACCAAATATATGTCCAACAACATACATGGTGGACTCTGTCGCAGGACAGCAGAAAGCCACCAAATCTGAATTCATAAAAATAAACTCATGTGCATTCAAGGACAAACTTATCAGAAGCACTTGATAATCTTCAGGAGACTAGTCCCCATATCCGTAGTTGTCTGGCACACCCAGCACCTGAGAATCCACCATTAGCGCATCAGATAATTGGTAACACAATGTCCAAAGGCTCAACAAGACAGCCTAGCTATCGAAGCAACAGAAGCTACAGCTACTTAAAACGCCAACCTGATACTCGAAACACATCCCAGCCCTGTCACAGGCAAGATTAATCCAGCCGATGCACCAACCGCCCCTGTCGCCTTTTGTGACGAAAGACACCAGTTTTCACCAGCGACAACAACCTTGCGTGCAGGCGTTGTTTGTTTGTAGGCCTTGTTTCTGTAAAGCAGTCCAAGCAATGACCAACTTGACAATTGAAAACCATAGTAGTAGTCGGAAACATATGGTCGAAACTACAAGAACTGCTCTAACAACCATCAAATTTCTAACATCTCCAGTGAACTTCACAAATCCAACTACATAAATCATAAAAAGAAACAGGAACAATCTGAATATCTCTAATCACTGTCAGACTTCTCCTTGCTAGCTACAAAAACACATACTTCCTCCGTCTGAAAATACTTGTCATCAAAATGAATAAAAAGAGATGTATCTAAAACTAAAATACGTCTAGATACATCTCCTTTTATCCATTTTGATGACAAGTATTTCCGGATGGAGGTAGTATTTGAAAAGAATTTCCAATGGTATAATTTTTGTAGCATTCATTTCATATATTATTGATCTTATAGATGGTCAGAGAGTAAATCTTGAAATAGGAAATAGGCCATATATATCTGGATAGAGGGAGTACATCACCAAGAGAAGAAGTGGAAGAACTACAAGAACTACAAGAACCATAGTAGTAGTCGAAACTACAAGAACTGCTCTAACAACCATCAAATTTCTAACATCTCCAGTGAACTTCACAAATCCAACTACATAAATCATAAAAAGAAACAGGAACAATCTGAATATCTCTAATCACTGTCAGATTTCTCCTTGCTAGCTACAAAAAACACATATTTGAATAGAATTTCCAATGGCATAATTTATGTAGCATGCATTTCATATATTACTGATCTTATCGATGGCCAGAGAGTAAATCTTGAAATACGAAATAGGCCCTATATATCTGGATACAGGGAGTACATCACCAAGAGAAGGATTGGAAGAATTTAAAGCAAGTGTTATGTGTAAATTACCTGGGTGCCATCTTTCATATGCAGATTCTCTAAACATGCCACTCCTTCCATCTCCACTTTATAACTTTCCTTGCTCATGTGATGTATCAACTGAGTGCTCAGACCATTTTCCGTAGCAAAATCTTTTGGGTCCTCAATGTTATCCAGATCTTTCCCATCGTCATTATGTTGGCAACCACCACTAAGTTGTACTGCACAATAAAAAATGTAACATGTGTGCGTGAAGAGGGAGTATATATAACTCAACACAACGCACCAATAATTAACACAAAGACTTAATTACCAGACTCTTCAGTAGGAATGACATCGGATGGCGTTGTCATTGGTAACATCATATCAGTAGGTGGTGCTACTAGGCTCTCAGAATTCAACGCATGCTCACTTTCCACATCAATATTTTCGGTCGTATCGGTACTAGTTTCCATGGCAGACTCAGTTCCCATCAGTTCCTGGGCATCAACCATCTCAGAAGTAACAACTTGTACTGCACATAAAAAATGGCACATACATGCATGAAGAGAGAGTATGTACAACTCAACACAATGAAGGAATTAACCAAAGCAGTAATTAAGCTAAATAAGAGGCACGTCACTTATTAGTTATTACCAGACTGTTGAGTGGACATATCGGTGGGCTGCGTTGTAACCGATAATGCGGTATCAGTATGTGGTGCCCCAGTGCTCTCAGAATTCTCTACAGGCTCACTTCCCACCACCATCGCGTCAACAGCTGTCTCTTCAGGGCTAATTTCAGGAGCAACCTCAGTTCTCATCGGTTTAAAATGATCATCGACCATTTGTTTCGTGACAAACAAGAGCTTGGGGTGTCTGGAGTGGTTCTTTGTTGCTCCTTTCCACTCCTCTTTTGTTCCTTCGCTCACTCCATCATGAAGGGTGACCTCCTTAAGACGTGGCAGGCACTGGATCCTCGTGCTGCTAAAGCCATTCAAATCCTTGCATAGAAGCTGGAGAAACTCAAGGTCCGGCAGCGCCCCCTCTTCGATTACCAGCCCGGTAATGACTTCCACCACTATGCATAGGCGTTTCAGGCTTCCGAGTGCATCCTCTTCGATGACGAGATTGTCCATTCGAGTTGCATTCAGCTTGAGGTACGTCAGGCCACTCACGTTGATCAGGGCTTCAAGAATGCCACTGCTCAGCTGAAGATGACAGAATGAAAGACAAAGCTTAGTGAGTCCACCTAGCATGGTGACAAACGGAGGAAGGCTGGATATGTTGTTTCCTTGTAGCTTGAGCGAGCTAACATAGCAGGATGGATCACTTTCCAGGGAGAAATTCAGAAAGCCTTGAGACCATGCACCATTCATGTTCAGTGAGAGTGAACGAGCTTTGCTCGGGTCGGTGCCCCTCTCGATGAACTCCTTGATGGCCTCTGAGAGATGACTTAAATAGTTGCTGGCATCGGTGGTAGACTCGCGCCATATTTTCACCTTTGTGTATTTTTCATTTCACCCATCAGCTGTGCAAATCCTTGGCTCTTGTCGTTCACAACAAATCCTGCTACTGTTTGCAGTTTACTGTTATCTTCCTCTTGCAACCAAGCCTGTAGCTTACGCATTTTCCGGCTTCCTACACCTTGTGGGAGCTTGAACTTTCCAAACAGATGAAGTAAACTCTGTAGTTGCATGACTCGTGTGGGCAGAATATCTATATTCGTTCCCCTTAAATCCAGTGTCTCCAAAAGTTGAAGCTTCTTGACCTCTTTGGGGAGAAGTGTAATTTTAGAAGCGCCCCGGAGGCTTAGGTACCTGAGTAGCACCAGATTGCTGCATATCCCCTTGAGATGCTTGTTCTCCATGATTTCATGGCACTCTTCTAAATCCAAAACTCTCATCAGTTTATACTTGGAAAAATTCAAGACAGATTTGTGCGCCTTGCCGAAGATCGTCAGAGAACGGAGAAAGGGTACATCATTTGGATTAATTCTGGAGCTTGCAGCACTTCCACTATGCAGAGAGAGCCAGCGGACTTTACTGGGTGGGGGAACATCATCGTACAACAAGGTAACAAAATTCTCACACATGGACTTGTGCAGGAGGAACTCGAGCATTATGCCGTGAGTTTGGCATGCCTTCACCTCTGCTATGCTGCTGCTGCTGCTGACATCAATAGGATGGATGATGCTCCAGTCGACCAGCTCGTTAAAATTGGCAACAGCGACCTCTCGGGCACTGCGTTTGTGCTCTGCAGTGATGAAACCTTCAGCGGACCATCGCCTTATCAGGCTTCCTCTTCTGATTGGGCGGCCACTTGGATAAATACCCAGATATAACAAGCATGTCTTGATATGTTGCTTACTTAGGCCGGTGTAGCTACGGAAGAGCACAGCATTCATACTGGCTAACTTCTTATTGTTCTCCAGATGTTCGCCAAGATTTCCTCCCAGATCTGCCCATTGTTCCGGTCTGGATTCACCGTGCAACAACCGTGCTGTGGTAACAAGAGCAAGGGGCAGACCATCACATCTCTTTATTATTTCTGAACTCAGCTTCGTATCATCGACTGATGGTGGATACACCAAGGAAGCTTCCTCACAGAACAGTTGTCTTGAATGATCGTCGTCAAGAGTTCTCATTACATACACATGACCATCACTACTGCTGCTTTTGATTGCTATGGTCTGCCTGGCCGTCGTGACGAGAACTCTACTGTCGACCCCAGGAACAACAGGGAAAGCATCTTTTATATCGACCCAAAAGTCTTCCCGCATGTCATCGATTACAATGAAGAACCTATAAGTAATAGAAACGAGTTAGAATCTTCAGGCAAAGCAACTATTGGATAGCACAAGGAAATCGAAGTAGTATTGCTAAAAAGAAACGACTTAGAATCTTGAGGCCAAGCAACTATCGGATAGCACAAGGAAACCGAAGTAGTATTGCTAAAAGACGCTTCATTAGAGCACTGAAGTTTGATCTTTTATTGAGTACGCAAAAATCTCCTTTGTGCTTGAAAACAAAAGACATACTAATATATGAAAATTTAGATTCTTCTAATTTTCTTTTATACTTTCATGTTGTTTAACATTCTCCATGTGTTATGAACCAGCACACGCGCCCACCCGATTGGTATTTCTCTCTTCACAGGATACAGAGTTGAAGAGACGGAGAGTAGAATTCAGAGAAGGAAGAGTGCAGCTAGCAGATTGAGAATTTCAGGGGAAGAGGAGAAGAGCAGAGTTACAGGTCACAAGCTTTTCCAATGGCAAAAAACAACCCCAAAGCAAACAACTCTCGCTTAAGGACCGGGACAGCTGTCGACGACGCACCGACTAGGCGACTACACAGCCAACCGTCAGATCAAGCAGTCCACTCTGGGCTACTGAATCGTGCAGCTCGGCGGCGCTCTTGCTTAGAGCGTCTGAGTTATTCAGCTTGTTCTCCTGTACTCTGCTCCAGCGGTTCTGCCACTGTGCTTGGACGCTCCCTATGACTCATCTTCTAAAACGATTTGTAGAGTTTGTGTCTAATATTTGTACAATTTGGGTACTTGGGTTACTGTTGAACTTCCAGCAAGCCATACATTGTATGGATATACTCCCTCCGTTCCTAAATACTTGTCTTTCTAGGCATTTTAACAAGTGACTACATACGAAATAAAATGAGTGAATCTACACTCTAAAATATTCTACATACATTCGTATGTGTTAGCCATTTGAAATGTTTAGAAAGACAAATATTTAGGAACGGAGGGAGTAGATCAGTGAATGGAAGGTGCTATAGGAGGAAAAGATGTTAGTGTTAATGTTGAGAACTTGTGCTTGCTGTCAGAGTCGAGAAATTAATAACTTTTAAGGTTGTATCACATGATGCGACAATGAGATTAACAAAAGAATTCCATCCTCAAAAAAATGTGGCAATTGCTGGTTGCATCAAATTGTGCTAAAATAAAGATGCATTTTATATGGCTATAAAGATCGATGATACTGTAGTGTTGTGGATACTGGGTAGTGGGCTGTGTGCAGTGGAATTAGATAGAAACATGAGTCGAGAAATCCAATGGAAGCATAACTGGGTAGGAAATTTCTTGTACCTCTGGGTCCCAAGGCGCTTCTGTATGGTTGCACAGAGCTTGCTGTTGCTGGAGCTTGCGCTGATGGTGGTGGTGGTATGCGCTCCAAGTTGCTGCAATATCGCTTGGAGAAGATCTTCTGGGCCTTTCTCTGCAGCTCGAACCCAAGCCCGTGCTGGGTATTGCCTCTCGTCGCCAAGTGTGTCGTACACACGCTTGGCAAGCTGAGACTTGCCGATACCACCGAATCCGACGACGGAGATCACCTTGAGCTTCTCCTTGTTGTGTTGTTGACCTTGCGTCCAACTTCCCCTTATCAGCTCCATGAGCTCCTCCTCGGCCGCGTCCATGCCCACGGGGTTATCTGTGTAAGTCTCCGGCTCCGTCTCCACGTGAGGAGGCGCCCGTGACTCAAAGACGGCGGCGGCCCTGCCATGTCCATACGCTAGATCGGTGTACTTGTTTCTCAGCTCCGACGCCTCGTCTGATCTCTTCCTGAGACGAGCGATCACCGCGGCAAACTTGCCACGGGCCCTCACCGTCTTGAGCCGGTGAGCTTTCCGACGGATCCACCCCGCGTCGGCGACTGGCGCCGTCGAGACGCGGTGTATGAAGCGGTCGATGCAGTCATCAATGTCGTACGCCAAGTCACGCACGATCTTGATCCATTCCTGATGAGCCTCGGCGGCGTCGCTCGCATGCTGATGATTACCATCATCTACGATGGCGGCAGCAATGATCGAACACTCCCTTTGGATGTGTTCGATGTCATGCTCCAGTTCCGCCAGCAGCCTGCGCCTTCTCAGAAAGAAACCGGCGAGCTTAGGCGCGATCTTCGCCGCCACCGTGGCGACCGCAGTTAATTCGATCATTGCCGCGCCGGAATTCCCATCAGATCATAATCTTGTCCGCCCTCATGGAAACTCGTGGATACAGAAAATAGTTCAGCAACTCATCACGGATATCTTATCTCTACATCTCGGGGTCTAGCCCCGTCCAAGAAGCTCCAAACTCGGTCGGTGACATGGGCACAGGCTGCAAATAATAATGTTCACATGAAAGTCTACCAGTCAGAGCATCTACAACTGGAGTCGCGCTAGTGGGTCCATGGCCCGCGTACTCAGGCCGGCTTCCGGTATATGGAGACGCACCCCTGAGCTATGAGAGCATGTAAAGCCGGACTTGGCAAATTCAAACCCTCAAACGACGTCCGCGGACATGATTCGGACGCGTCCACCGACACTGACCGGTCACGGCTCAAATATTTTATTGTACAACCGGATACCTCAAATTCATATTATTACATGCAACATAAATCAATCTTTAAGCGTGCTTGTCCACCGCCGTACCCATGTCCGACGGCCAGCTGCGCTCCGAAGAGTGTTGCTCCGGCCGCTGACGAGGTAGGGTAAGACATGGGACACGAACCGGCTCACGGAGTCAAGGCGCCGCAGTCTTCCATGTCCTACTCTTCCTCGTCGGAGCCCGGAACACTGACGGTGCCGGTGGATGTCAGATCGACGATGGATCCTGTTGGGAAACGTTGCATGCAATTTCAAAAAATTACGTACGCTCACGCAAGATCTATCTAGGAGATGCATAACAACCAGAGGGGGAGAGTGTGTCCACGTACCCTCGTAGACCGAAAGCAGAACCGTTTGCTTAACGCGGTTGATGTAGTCGAACATCTTCTCGTTCCAACCAATCGATACCGAATGTACGACATCTCCGAGTTCTGCACACGTTCAGCGCGATGACGTCCCTCGAGCTCTTGATCCAGCAGAGGGTCGAAGGAGTAGATGAGTTCTGTCAGCACGACGGCGTGGTGACGGTGATGGTGATGTGATCCGCTCAAGGCTTCTCCTAAGCACCGCGAGAATATAACCGGAGGCATAAACTGTGGAGGGGGCGCCGCACACGGCTTGGAGCTATTGGTGTGTCCTCTAGGGGCGCCCCCCTCCGTATATAAAGGAGGGAGGGAGAGGAGGCCGGCCCTAGGCGGGGCCCAAGTTGGAGGAGTCCCACTTGGGCTCCTAGTAGGATTCCCCCCACCCCTTCCTTTTACCGGAGGGGGAAAGGGGGAAGAAGAGAGAGTAGGAGAAGGAAAGGGGGTCGCCGCCCCCTCCCCATGTCCAATTCGGACTCCTCCCTAGTGGGGGGGGGGGGGGGCGCCAGCCCCTTGTGGGCTAGTTAGCCTCCCTCCTATGGCCCATATGGTCCATATCTTTCCCCGGGGGTTTCGGTAACCCCTCCGGTACTCCATTTTGCATCATACTTTTATGTCAATATTTATTGCATTATGGGCTGTTATTTCACGTTATGTCACAATACTTATGGCTATTCTCTCTTATTTTACAAGGTTTATATGAAGAGGGAGAATGCCGGCAGCTGGAATTCTGGGCTGGAAAAGGAGCAAATATTGAAGGACTATTCTGCGCAACTCCAAAAGTCCTGAAACTCCACGGAATATCTTAGAATAAATAAAGAAAAATCGTCGCCAAAGATGAAGACCAGGGGGCCCACACCCTGCTCACGAGGGTGGGGGACGCCCCCTGGGCGCGCCCCCTATCTCGTGGGCCCCCTGGTGGCTCTCCGACGTCCATCTTCTCCCATATGAAGTCTTTCGATGAGAAAAAAATAGAAGAGAACCTTTCGGGATGAGACTCCGCCGCCACGAGGCGGAACCTTGGCAGAACCAATCTAGGGCTCCGACAGAGCTGTTCTGCCGGGGACACTTCCCTCCAGGAGGGGGAAATCATCACCATAATCATCACCAACGCTCCTCTCATCGGGAGAGGGCAATCTCCATCAACATCTTCACCAGCACCATCTCATCTCCAAACCCTAGTTCATCTCTTGTATCCAATTCTTGTCTCCAAGTCCGGGATTGGTGCTAGTAGGTTGCTAGTAGTGTTGATTACTCCTTGTAGTTGATGATAGTTGGTTTATTTGGTGGAAGATCATATGTTCAGATCCTTTGTGCACAATATTACCCCTCTGATTATGAACATGAATATGCTTTGTGAGTAGTTACGTTTGTTCCTGAGGACAAGGGAGAAGTCTTGCTATTAGTAGTCATGTGAATTTTGGTATTCGTTTGATATTTTGATAAGATGTATGTTGCCTAACCTCTAGTGGTGTTATGTGAACGTCGACTACATAACACTTCACCATTATTTGGGCCTAGAGGAAGGCATTGGGAAGTAATAAGTAGATGATAGGTTGCTAGAGTGACAGAAGCTTAAACCCTAGTTTATGCGTTGCTTCGTAAGGGGCTGATTTGGATCCATATGTTTCATGCTATGGTTAGGTTTACCTTAATACTTTTGTTGTAGTTGCGGATGTTTGCAACAGAGGTTAATCATAAGTGGGATGCTTGTCCAAGTAAGGGCAGTACCCAAGAACCGGTCCACCCACATATCAAATTATCAAAGTACCGAATGCGAATCATATGAGCGTGATAAAAACTAGCTTGACGATATTCCCATGTGTTCTCGGGAGCGCTTTTCCTATTATAAGAGTTTGTCCAGGCTTGTCCTGTGCTACAAAAAGGATTAGGCCACCTTGCTGCACTTTATTTACTTTTGTTACTTGTTGCTCGTTATAATTTATCCTATCACAAAACTATCTGTTACCACTTATTTTAGTACTTGTAGAGAATACCTTGCTGAAAACCGCTTATCATTTCCTTCTGCTCCTCGTTGGGTTCGACACCCTTACTTATCGAAAGGACTGCGATAGATCCCCTATACATGTGGGTCATCAAGACTCTTTTCTGGCGCCGTTGCCGGCTACCTCTTGAGCACTGCGTTGGATTTCCCCGAAGAGGAGAGGATGATGCAGTAAAGTAGCGTAAGTATTTTCCTCAGTTTTTGAGAACCAAGGTATCAATCCAGTAGGAGATCACGCACAAGTCCCTCGTACCTACACAAAACGATAGCAACTCGCAACCAACGCTTAGGGGTTGTCAATCCCTTCACGGTCACTTACGAGAGTGAGTTCTGATAGAGATAATATTTTTGGTATTTTTGATAGATAGATGCAAAGTAAAAAGTAAAGGCAAAGTAAAAACAAAGCAAGTAAATAAAGTGATATAGATTCATTCCGGAACCCTTCCGGTGTCCGAATACCACCTTTCAGTATATCAATCTTTACCTCTTGACCATTTTGAGACTCCTCGTCATGTCCGTGACCTCATTCGGGACTCCGAACAACCTTCGGTCACCAAAACACATAACTCATATAATACATATCGTCATCAAACGTTAAGCGTGCGGACCCTACGGGTTCGAGAACTATGTAGACATGACCGAGACACCTCTCCGGTTAATAAACAATAGCGGACCTGGATGCTCATATGGGTTCCCACATATTCTATGAAGATCTTTATCGGTCGAACCGCTATGTCAACATATGTTATTCCCTTTGTCATGTTACTTGCCCGAGATTCGATCGTCGCTATCTTCATACCTAGTTCAATCTCATTACCGGAAAGTCTCTTTACTCGTTCTGTAAGCATCGTCCCGCAACTAACTCATTAGTCACATTGCTTGCAAGGCTTCATATGATGTGCATTACCGAGAGGGCCCAGAGATACCTCTCTGATACTCCGAGTGACAAATCCTAATCTCGATCTATGCCAACCTAACAAAAACCTTCGGAGATACCTGTAGAGCATCTTTATAATCACCCAGTTACTTGTGACGTTTAATAACACACAAAGTATTCCTCCGGTGTCCGGGAGATGCATAATCCCATAGTCGGAGGAATATGCATTTGACATGAAGAAAGCAGTAGCAATAAAACTAAAGGGTCATTATTCTAAGCTAACGGATGGGTCTTGTCCAGCACATCATTCTCCTAATGGTGTGATCCCATTCATCAAATGACAACACATGTCCATGGCTAGGAAACTTAACCATCTTTGATCAACGAGCTAGTCTAGTAGAGGCATACTAGGGACACAGTGTTTTGTCTATGTATTCACACATGTATCAAGTTTTCGGTTAACACAATTCTAATATGAATAATATACATTTATCATGAATAAGGAAATATAAAATAACAATTTTATTATTGCCTCTAGGGCATATTTCCTCTAGTCTCCCACTTGCACTCGAGTCAATAATCTAGATTACATTGTAATGAATCTAACACCCATGAAGTCATGGTGTTGATCATGTTTTGCTCATGGAAGAGGCTTAGTCAACGGGTATGCCACATTCAGATCTGTATGTATTTTGCAAATCTCTATGTCTCCCTCCTTGACCAAATCTTGGATGGAGTTGAAGCGTCTCTTGATGTCTTTGGTCTTTTTGTGAAATCTGGATTCCTTCGCCAAGGCAATTGCTCCAGTATTGTCATAAAAGATTTCCATTGGACCCGATGCACTAGGTATTACACCTAGATCGGATATAAACTCCTTCATCCAGACTCCTTCATTTGCTACTTCCGGAGCAGCTATGTATTCTGCTTCACACGTAGATCCCGCCACGACGCTCTGCTTGGAACTGCACCAACTGACAGCTCCACCATTCAATAAAAATACATATCCGGTTTGTGACTTAGAGTCATCCAGATTAGTGTCAAAGCTACCATCGACGTAACCACTTACGACAAGCTCTTTGTCACCTCCATAAATGGGAAACATATCCCTAGTCCCTTCCAGGTAGTTCAAGATGTTCTTGACCGCTGTCCAGTGATCCACTCCTGAATTACTTTGGTACCTCCCTACTAAATTTATAGCAATACACACATCAGGTCTGGTGCACAACATAGCATAGATGATAGAACCTCGCGGTTGGGAGTTTGTAAATCCTAGTTGCGCGGATCTACCCCGATGATATACATCGACTCTACTTCCGCTGCGCTA